TCCAAAATCTTATCTACCCGATAGATAAAAGGGTTGCTTCATTTCTGAAAGTTACATATCAAGGTTTTCTGATTGCTGACCAATATTTCAGATTGCCACAACATTTCGGGAGAAGAAAATACCTTGTGATGTGATATGGATGGACATTGACTACATGGATGGCTTTCGATGTTTCACTTTCAACAAGGCATGTTCTTTCCTAGTCTATTTCAATGGATTTTTATTTGCACGGCACAATTAAGGCATTTAGGAAAGTCTAATAGCATGGGATTGTGATGGTTTTCATTTCCAGATTATTCCACTTGTTTGCTCTTCTTTATCTTGCTAAGCATTTAGTCAAGAGGTAGCTTAATTCAATAATTATATGCACTCCAGACAAGACTTGGCACATAATTGGCTATGTACTTTGTTAAATTCTATGTTAATAATTCCTATCCCCTCTTTGACAAAGATGGGTAATTCATCATAATATAACTTCAAAAATCATTATTCTCATTGAATACAGGAGCGATTCCCAGATCCAAAATCTTTGGTGAATGACCTCCACCATAATGGTTTCAAAGCAATTTGGATGCTTGACCCAGGGATTAAATATGAAGAGGGTTATTTTGTCTATGACAGTGGATCTAAAAATGACGTATGGATCCAAAAAGCAGATGGAACACCTTTTGTTGGTACATGTCCTTTCCCATTTGCATTTTAATAATAATAATTTTTTTTCTGAGGTTTTTAAATCTTTTTCCCTGTTCATTCTTCAGGGGATGTGTGGCCTGGGCCTTGTGTTTTCCCTGATTTTACTCAATCAAAAGTTCGTTCCTGGTGGGCAAATTTAGTTAAAGATTTTACTTCTAATGGAGTTGATGGTATATGGAACGATATGAATGAGCCAGCTGTATTTAAGGTTATTTTAAAGATCATGCCATGATCCTGGCAACTTGTTTTCCACAAATGGTTCTCACTTTTCTCTTTCCAGGTTGTAACAAAAACGATGCCTGAGAATAATATTCACAGGGGTGATGAAGAACTTGGTGGTTGCCAAAGTCATGCGCATTATCACAATGTACTGGTCTTAAAACATAAGTTTTTTCCTCTTTTATTACCTACTTCCCACATAAAGTTATGCTGATGGGATGACATAAACTGTTATATTTCCTTAAAACTGTGGATTGTGGACACTAACCTGATTACCAGCACATTTAAATACCTTTTCTTTCCAGCACATTTAAATACCTTTTTTTTGCAGTGAAGTATTTGAATGACTTATTGATACAGTAAGATGTTTTGAAATTCATTTTCTTGATATTGGTTACCATTTTAGGTTTATGGACTGCTGACGGCAAGATCCACTTTTGAAGGCATGAAATTAGCTGATAAAAATAAGCGGCCTTTTGTTCTCACCAGAGCTGGATTTATTGGCAGCCAAAGATATGCAGCAACATGGACTGGAGACAATCTTTCAAATTGGGAACACCTTCACATGTCCATCTCCATGGTACTTCAGTTGGTAAGTCATTTTGTGAGTTTCCCTTATGTGCTCTCTGCATAGTGGTGAAGTTAATTTGTTGTTTTGCCTTTCAAATGCTGGCAGATTTAACTTCTTGTTTAGTTGCTTGAACAATAAATTTATTCAATTGTTCATATTTGCTCCCTTTAAAGTTTAATTTTGTTTTCAGGGCCTTAGTGGTCAGCCACTTTCAGGACCCGATATTGGTGGATTTGCTGAAAATGCAACACCTAAACTTTTTGGCCGGTGGATGGGCGTAGGGGCTATGTTTCCTTTTTGCCGTGGACACTCTGACCGGCACACCCGTGATCATGAGCCCTGGTCCTTTGGTGAAGAGGTTTGCCCTGCCTTTGCCTTGGCAATATGACCTGTGATACACAAGTTACTAATCAAATACTGAAAAGGAATCTGATAATTCTACTTTTAATGAGGATAACTGGATAAGCCTTGATTTGTGATTCCTTCTTAAGATGAATGAAATAAAATACAATAAAAGTTGGGTATTCCTACAAAGATTATATTTGGTGTTTTCCTCATTGTAATGCAGTGGGTAGTGCCTTGTGCTACTCTACAAAGAATAATCAATAATTCATATCTTTTGTCAAAGGGAAAACTTGAGAAGCAATGACTTCACTGCTCACTTGCATGGGTGAATAGAAACTAAGACAATTTAGGTTATTAAATATTAACTTCTTGGTAATGCGGTGTGATGCCTTATTGTAATTTACAAGAAGCTTCCAATGAATCTTAGTAAGAGTAGGTGCTGTTTATCTCAATGGCATGGTCCAAAAGGATGGCAGATCTTTTAACACATGTCCCTTTAATACTTATGACTAAGGTTTTTGATATTGCTTGACATGGTTTTTCATTTTTCCAAATACAATATTAGATTGTAGTACATTATTCATAGATTTATTGATCTATGAACAATTTCCATTCTAAGAGAGCTAAGAGAAAAATCTTTGCACTCAAATGAATAAGTTAGTTTGAACTGATATAATTTTTTTTTTCTTGTTAATATGCTTAACTATCTGGTTGTGTATTCCAGACCGCTAACAATGGAATTTGGAACTAACTTTAGTTTTATTTATTAGTGTGAAGAAGTGTGTCGTCTAGCATTGAAGAGGCGCTACCGCCTTATACCACACTTATATACTCTTTTTTATATGGCACATACTAAGGGTACTCCTGTAGCAACTCCGGCCTTCTTTGCTGGTACATTTCTCTGATTCTGATGTTTATATCAAATGTGCTCCACTAGATGTATAACTTTATTGATGACAACTGTTGATCTCTATTTGCAGATCCAAAAGATCCCAGGTTAAGAAAACTTGAAAGTTGCTTCCTTTTGGGCCCACTTCTAGTTTGTGCAAGGTTCTTATTCTCTTTCTTACCTTTCATTTTTGAGCTTGCAGTTTGGCTTAATTAGCAGTTGTTTCAAAATCAACTATTGACCCCTTCAGGGACATCAGATAAAGTCAACTATTGAATTTGTGCTTGCTTTCTTTTCTCTTTAGAATAATTTGCATTTTCTTTGGCTTAAGAGAACTCCTAAATTTATGTCCAAATGTAATTTTCATTGTTTAACAGTTGATTTCTTCACTAACGGTTTTAATTTCTTTTTCTTTTCCTTGGTCAGCATCATGGTAAATCAGGAATCTGATACACAGCTCTTGTTGCCTAAAGGAATTTGGTTGAGCTTTGATTTTGATGATTTACATCCGGTATTTATTTCTAGGCATCTTTCTCTGCCTTTTTGATACTGTCTATATTCATTGATTGCTGACATAGGGTTTTCTTGTACTCTGGGTTGAATTTATCAGGATTTACCAGGCCTATATTTAAGAGGTGGATCAATTATACCTTTGGGTCCTCCCATCCAGCACATTGGTGAATCTAATCCATCAGATGACTTAACGCTCCTCATAGCCCTGGATGAGAATGGTAACATTTTCTGCACTTGATTTGATAATGGATCCTCATCGAGAAGCATTGAGTGCCTTCAGTAAAACATAAAATATTTGGTTTATTTTCATTGGAAGAAGAGTGCACTGGGGCTTCTGATCTATTTAGTTCTGTTTTCACTTCCAAATATATTCTTCTTGTTTTTTGAATTCATTGGGAAACATCATCCTATTAAGTTCTGCTGGTTGGTTAGGCCAGTATTTGGCTTTTTTCTAAATAAAATTTAAGTGGTCTTTTCAACTATCTGAATACCATGACAGAAGCAGCTGTTTACGGTTAGATCTTTTCATGTACAGGGAAAGCTGAAGGTGTTCTTTTTGAAGATGATGGTGATGGGTATGGATTCACCGAAGGGGAATATCGTTTGACACACTATATTGCTGAGCTTGAATCATCAGTGATTACTGTAAGAATATCTAAGACTGAAGGGTTGTGGAAGAGACCAAACCGCCGTCTACATGTTCAGCTATTACTTGGTGAAGGTGCAAAGGTATGTCTTGCCTACATAAAGGAGCATAATCACAGATTAAGAAATGAGATACAGCTGGGGCATCTGGAATAAAAAGTTTAATATCTAACCGTTTCCTTCACACAGCTTGACTCTTGGGGCATAGATGGAGAGACTATGCAAATTGCATTGCCTTCTGATATTGAGGTTTCTAAGCTAATAACCACAAGCAAAGCAAATCGCAGGAGGCAATTAGGTACATATATATATATATTTTTTTCTTTGTGTTAATGGATGTACAGAAGTACATTTCTTCATATTTGTACTTAGTTATTATACATAAAACCTGAGGTCCTGTCTCAGTCTGCCAGAGGTTTCTCCTCAGCATTTTATCTTCCCACTTTTAGGAAGTGGCAAAAGCTGCTAGAATTCAAAAGATTATTTCTCACGTAATTAGAAATCCTTTGTATTATAATCTCTCTTATAAAGAAGAATTCTCTCATAAAATTAATAAAGGGGCTTGGATATAGTTTATTTGTTTTGATTTTTTCTCAAACGTAATTTTAAAAGCTTTATTTGGCCCAATGTTATTTTTGATGAGCCAGTTTCTTTTTGCAGAGAGTGTCAAGCTTATTCCAGATATGGAGGCTGATTCTGGACAGAAGGGAATAGAACTATCAATTACTCCTGTGGAACTGAAAAGTGGCAATTGGTCATTAAAAGTAGTTCCTTGGATTGGGGGTAGAATTATTTCCATGGCACACCTTCCTTCAGGTAACGCATAGCTGACTTTCCAGAGCACTTTTTTTCATCGTCTGATCATATGTGGACTGGTGAAGCTTTCCCTTGGAGTCATTGCATTTCTGCTGTTTAATATTCTATAGTTAGTTGATGATCAAAATAAAAAAGAATGAAGTGGCTTCATGGTTTAATGTGAAGAGAAAAGCTAACCCTATTCTATCTCAGGTGGAGTC